AAAGTCGTCTGTGATGCAAAGTTGTCTGTGGTGCTAGTCTGCTATTATAAAGCTGAAAATCACAGTGTTTTAGAACTAAAATATAACATGTAAGAGACAGAGGTGGAAAGACAGAGAGACAAAGACAAAAAGAAGCTTAACAAAAATATGCTTCTCTATTAAACCAACAAGGCACATCTATTTCATTTTTTCTAAATGTGGAAACTGATATTAAAAGAGGAAAAAGACTACATCAAGGGAAACTATGAATATATTAAGAAAGGATCTATCGAAAGTCTAGTTCAAAAGCTGGCCTACTTTCTACCATATTCGAAGTTTAATCTTGCTTATATCTTGCTTAACTTTGGTTAGTCCTATTTAACAGAGATTTTAATAAACATTTATTCAATAAATATTTATTCCTGGTCTTGGCTGCTAGCCGAATAAATTAGAAAAAGTGAGCACAATTCTCCACTGACGGCAGATAAAAGTAATAGAGGTCATTATGTAAATAATATTAACAGCTTAAATCTAGGAACTGGCAAAATACAAATAAAGATTAAAACCTTATCACACAAAATAGAAAGTTCTGGCAGAAGAGGTCCGGTGGGTAAGGGAACCACTGTGACCTATCGGAACCTATGGTTATTCAGGTCCAGAGATGGACGGGTGTCATGGTAGATGGGACAGAGCTTACACTACAAAGCCAGACAGACCAGGGTTCCCCCCTCAGGTGTTCCATTTACTGGGGATGTGACCAGGCTGTCCACTTCTCCGAACCTCAGTTTCCTAAACCAAGAAATGAAGACAGTAATATCTACTTCCTTGTGACCTAGGAACAGGAAACAATTTTTTAAGCCAGAAACAAAGACAAGAACCACAATGGAAGTGACGGATACATCCGACTCACTGAAATCAAGAGCGTCTGTTGACAAAAGGAAACAGAGTTAAAAAATAAATAAATAAAAGCCACAGGTTGGGAAAGAAGATATGCCTCACTTTTAACTGACAAGGGATTGATGTATAGAATAATAAAAAAACCCTATAAATCCAAAATAATAAGAGTAAGACAGCTAAAAATGTACAAAAGACTTGAAAGACACTTAACAAAACAGAAAATTCAAATATTCAATCAACATGAAAAGATACTTGTCCTCATTAGTAATCACGAAAATGCGGATTCAGTAATACCACATTTCAGGGTTATTTGGGGAAAGCAAATAATTATATATTTGAAAGATCTACGTAAGTCCTGGTATATGGTAGGTATGAAAGCCCTAAATCTACTTGTCCAAAGACCCCTGCCTGACTGCTCCTCTGGGCATGACTCCAATGCCCAGGAGCATCCTTCAATAACCTGAACCTTCACTGGATGCTTCCAAAGCTTACACTCAAACTTGGACCTCTCTCTAGCGAATACACTGAATTATTCCATGTGCAGATTTAGTGCGCCAACCCCACGCCTGGCTTCCCACAATTTTTCTGGCTCTAATTTTCTCTCCATGTTATTGTCTTCATCCCCTTTACATTCATTTTACATTGTTAGCATGCATGCATCTAGGCAAGGCATGTTCAATTCTTTCTGAGAACAAACGGGGTGTGAATAAACACTATAAAATAAATCTTTGCGAGCAATGGCCTATCGCCTAGAAGCCCTCTGCACTACCAGGAACCCTCTGAGCATAATACATCTGTGGATCACACACAAACACACCAGGTTTGTCACACCAGCGGGTTGCTATGGAGAAGCCTCAGAATCAGCACCCTGAGAGCTGCACTTGCTCGTCGGCATGTACCTTAACTTAGCCTGTTCTAACAGCTGATCAGGCAAGGCAGTTTCTACCCAATTGGAAGGAATGACAGCCGTGCACTTGATCCATGACCAGCAGACTAACAAGGTCAGTACAAACCAAAGGAGATGGAGTCTCCACCCGGCGAGGAGGCGACGGTGTCTCCGCGGCTATTTCAGGATCTTCCTGTTCACTCTCGCTGTAGCATTCTGCAACAGAGACGAGAGAGCTTAACGTTTCCACGCTGCCATCACTTACTCCATAATGCATGAGCAGAGGTTTTTCTCCATCTGGCTATTGCAACTCCGATCCAATTCAGAAAGTACTTATTGAATGAGCTACCTAGTACATAAGAGGGAAAAGCAAGTGTTAGGGTTTCTGCCCTCAAGGAGTGTCCAATAGGCAGGAAGAGGACTAACCACATGTAGCTCAGGGAAAATAAAAACAAGTCCTCAAAAGAGATGTGAGTCACACACTAAGGGAGAAAAAAAAATTCTGCAGTGATTAATTTTGAGCCTAGGAATCATAATGAGCTGAAAAATGGCAGGATAAGTAAACCATCAATGGTGCACACTGAGTAATGGGAGTACCAGGCTGAGCCATGTGTACAGAGTCGCCTAAAGGACAGGGTGGAAAACAAAGCTGAAAGGTTGTTGAGGCCATATCATGGAAGGCCTTACATATCAGAATAAGGAGGGTTTTGTGTAGTTATATTTTTGCTCACAATCTATAAATATACTTCAAATATGCAATGGGTATTTATTTTATAGAAAAGAGGACCAAGGAGACAATTAGGATACCAATTTCACAGTATTGCATTGTACCTCTTTATTGTTTTCAATCAAGTTGCCACTTCTCCATTTCTGAATTTAAGGTTTTATGATTCTATTATCCAAACATATAGTCCCCTACTTCCAATTCCTGAGTTTTTTGTGGTCTGAGCATTTCAGAATAGTCAGCTCTGTGACCCTGGCATCTAAAGGCTCTTTCTTCTCAATCTTAAGGACTAATTGCATCCTTAAGAAGAATCAGACTCCTGTAGCTTTTGAACCCTGCAAGCTACAGACTGAGCTAAAAATATGGCCTCTGTCCCCAACTGACATTCAGGTTCCTGGTACAAACTTAGGGTAATTAGTCTCAGCACACAGCTGGTGGAAATACTAAGATATCAGAAAGGAAACAGTGGGATGCAAGTTATCTGTCTAGATCATGAAGAGATCAGGTCTTTGACTAAGAATTCAGTAAGTGAGGTAACAAAACATTTGCATTGGCAATTGGTTGAGACATCAGTGAAGCCTACAGCTGCTAATGTGTGGGTGAAGTGTGAAAAGTATTCTTAGCCAGCATGGGAAGCTCCATTCCATGTTGGGGAGCCTGTGTGAATATGTCTGTCTCTACATATTTTCAGATAATTTAAAATGTCAAAGTATGTTTCATTAGAACAAGGCTATACATAGAACATGACATTGTGTCTTTACTGTATTCTAATATTCGTGCTACATTCTCAGAAACATGAAACAGAACATACCTTCATCCTTTGTAGTGGACTCATGATGGATTACAGCTAATCCAAACTTGTTTAACCACCTAAAATTCAAATCGAAAATAAATGTTTGCCAGCGAGATTGGTCCCACTACCTATTCCCTTAACCCTAAACCCTAGAGGAAGGTCTTATAACAGACTTCATAGTAAAATTGAGTCATAATGCTACAATCAGTCTAAGCATTTCCAGAAAAGCATAAGTTTGCGGTATAGAAACCTAAGACCTCTCGTTTCACAGTACTGTCCACACTCCGCATTCTTTGTTAAATAAGAAATGAGGTGGCCCATTATACAACTAGTTAAAGTGGGAACTCCATTAGATATTTTAAATGTATGAACATATATATGTTTTGTAATTGTGTATTTGAAACTCTTTAGCAACCATCGAAATGAATTTAGTAACTTGACCTATAAAGGTCTGTCTCTTCAATTCTTAGACTGTAAGCTAATTTCACCAAAAAAAAAAATGATGATCTATTTTTAAATCAAGATCTTTATATCAATCAGTAAAAGATCTGACCGGAACTTCACAGTTACTCCTAAGGTGAGGAAATTTTTAATTCCTTACCAAAAATGTTTATGTAAGATAAAAATTGACAACATCCCTTCCAGTGACTTATTATTGTATTGGCAATGAATTTCAACTACACATCAATCATAAAAATAAAACTAGACAAACCTTAAGGAATGCAAATTTGGCTTATGACTTCAGGCCACTGGAGTTCCTTTTTGAGAGTTTAGTTAGAAAACTATTTCCATAGACAATTTTTTAAAAGACACAAAATGTGTCCACCTTCTATGTTTCTAGCTATATAAACTTCCATTAAAGGGAAAATATTATTTGTGATAATCTAACAGATTTATTTTCTACTTCTTTCTAGTTTTCCATACTTTTAAAAAATATTCCATATATGTATTCATTTTTTTAAATATCAGTGACCTAAGTCAATCTATCAACAAAATGACAATATTAACACTATGCATGTATTGATTCACTTATGCTTTTTATTTTTTCTAGTCCTGTAACGCCTCATAAACTATCCAGCACGCTACACTCCACCACAGCATAAATACTGCACACCCCCAAGTCCGCACTCGTCAACAAATTAGGAATCCTTACCACCCAACCCTCAAAACTGCCATGTTCTTGCTCTATTGATTACTTTTTTAACAGGAGATATGTAATAAATTTAATTTAAAAAATAAATAAAATAGGACTTCCTACAAGAAGGAAGAAGAGCTCCAGCCCCATTTAAGAAGTCTCCTTTGGCACCATGATATATTTGAGTCTCTAACAGCCACTTAAACCTAGACCAGTATCTGGGCCCAGATCATGCCGTTGGAACTGAAAAACGCTCACCAAGACTCAAAAGAAAAATAACCAAAACAAAGAAACAGAAAATGACAAACAAATACAAATGGCTAATAAATACATGGAAAAAATTCTCAGCTTCAGTAGTATTTTGGGAAATGCACATTCAAGCACAGGAAAATACTTTTCACCACTAGATTGGCTAAATTTTTAAACATCATTGCTTTCTAGATTTTAGGAGAAAACATTCTCATCCTTTGTTGAGCTGAACATGAAAAACTGGTACAACCACTATGAAGCAGGCAATTGTATGATACTATTCAAAGTATAAATACTCATCCCATTCACGCAGCAATTCTAATTATAAACATCTAACCTACAAAACACACCTTCATGCACGTGAATAAATGTGGAAGAATGTTAACGCAATAATGCTTCCAATGGCAAAAAGAAAAAAAAATTGATACAATATAATTATCCAGTAATAGGAAAATGGATAAAGTATGGTACCAATTCCATCAGTACTATATTACAAAGAAGCGAATAAAAAGACAGGTGAGGGGGCCTTGTGATGACCTGGAAAAATCCAAATACACTGTTAAGAGAAAAAAGCAAGTACAAAACAAGATGTTTTTCTTGCTTTTAAAACCGTAGATTTGTATATGTGCATGACTTGATATGCAAAGAAAAGCGTCAGAAAGAACATACGTCATAGTATGAAAAGTGGTGTAATCTTAGGGAGAGACGTTGAATTGGAAGGTGAAGTTGGGCGTGTGGGAAGGTTTCCACTCCACATATTTCTGTATTAGACAATTTTGACAAGAATATGCTTTATGCATCACTTAACTAAAAAGTACACTTAAAAGTACATTTTAAAAAACCGATCAGGCAAAGCACAATGAATTTAATGGCTCACTAATTCCTAGTTTATCCATGATTTCATCATTGCATAAGTTGATCCTCCCCAAAAACTGCATCACAAAGTGAAGTAGACAAAACATTTGAAGATAAAAAATAGATGAACTGAGAATGTCTGAAACAAGAAAAGCCCTTTCTAAGTTTCTTTCCAGAAATATAGCAGAACAGAAGAGTATTGACAGTAAAGAAAAGATTCCTCTCAGGCCACACCCAAAACTCATGTCCCTTTAATTGCCACACCAGTTACTTACTGTGAAAAATGGGTGATTGTTTAGAATCTGGTTTGACTGTTTTCTTTCCAGAACTCACAGGCTTAGAGTACCTCCTTTGCTAAGAACTTTTTTTTAATTTCTATTTGTGGCTAAATAGATGGATGCACAAAAAGACTATATTTATATAAAAGAAGACGACAGATGTTTCCTGGGAGTTTGTTGTATGTTAACTCGTTGTGAATGTGTGTGTTGCAGAAGCACAAGTGTTAAGAAACTGATGTACAAAACAAGATCATTCTTCCCACAAAGACCGTCTGATAAAGGCAGCTACCACCAGTCTTTGTTTAGAAACCAACTCTTTCATTACCCTTAATTACTTACCCCTGTACTTGTAAACGGAGGGTCCCTGCAGAACACACGGTGTTTCTACTAGACTTAATTACCTTTCCCTTCATTGTCCCTGAGAGAAACATCACCACCCAAAAAGTCAGTTTCCCAAGGAGATGAACTTCTAAAACAGGACCCATCTCTCCAAATGCCACTCCCTCCTTCCCCTGCATTTCTGCATCTCACTATAAAATACCCAGATGCATTATACACCAGTTTATAAGGAGCACCTCAGTGAGCAAGGATGCTCTTCAGGTGCTCCTTCAGAACCAATCTTTAAATATCCTTTGCCTAGTCTTGTGGGAGAAGGAAGAATTTGACATACGGACCCAAAGAGATTCTGCATTGTTGGCTATTAGAGAAATCATCTTCAGAAAAACAAAACTGAATAACGATACTATAAATAAAAAATTATGATACATTCAGGCACAGACAAAATGGGCCATTTGCTTTTATAAGGGGCCAGATGGACAGTTTTTGAGTATAAAGTTCACTGAGAGATACAAAAAGCGGGGTCTGGAGCTCATGCTCAAATTTCAGTGTACATCTTGTTTGGAAGTTGGAAAGAGAAACAAATACTAAAATAATTTCAAGTAAAATTAACAGATCTCCACAGCATAGACAGGCCATGAGATCTTGGCTTTGATAACTATGAAAGGCTTTGGTTTAACAGTCAAATGGGCAGAGTGTGTGGCTAACAGTCATGCAAGCGTACTTGCCATTAGATCTCTGCAAAGGGAGAACGTGAAAGTGAAGACAAATGGACCAGAAATGTAAACAGAAACTGGAAAGTGGATGGGCAGGGAGCTCAATAACTCCGATGCGTGATCTAGAGAGCAAGTCTGAATTATAACAGATTCAGATCATTTGTAAGCATCTCACACTTTTATTGGTTTAAAACGTGTTTTATTGTGTAGGTGGAGGCATTCTATAGATAACGAAACACTTAGCAGTAATTGTTTCTCTGGTAAATTCCGTCTTACTCTCCCCTTGTCGGAGAGAACAGAACTACTTTGAAAGAACCTGCCACAAAATGAATGAGAAGGATGGATGTGGCCGGAAGGAAGCTGGAGATACAAGAAGCTGTTTAAGAGATGCCAGGCACAGCGGGAGGCCGCGGGGGTAGGGAGAGGCAGCGCTGTTTCACCGCCATTAAATGACTGAAAGGACCATTTGGGATGGATTGATTGATGGCTCAGCTCCAGGCTGACCCTGACTACCATAAGGCTCCAAGTACTGCTGGGCAAGACATTAAGGCTTCCACACACCAAGACCTCACTCATCAATCGAATTTAGGGTTACCAACGCAAATAAAAAGAGAAGCAAAGAGCTCTGTGAAGTTTTGTATCTTCTCCTTTTGTGTATCTGCTCTTATTTTTCACAGACGCTTGAGAAAAAAGCCAGGGGGGAAAAGCTAAAATCAAAGAGGATAGAAACAACTCCTCTCTTTGTCCAAGAAAATAAAAGACTTGTTTGGAAGATTCAATTGTCAGTACCTCGCTTTGTTATTTGTAACACAAGGTTTCCTAACTCAGTGTGGTAAAGAACAAACCCGCCCTCCTCTGAAGGGTTGTGGGGAGATGTGTACGGGGAACAGATGAGAATGCTTCCAGCTAGAAGGGGCTTCCCTCAGGGTACAGTGTACAGAGCTCTGTGTATGTGTGTGTGTGTGTGTGTGTGTTCAAGCGCGCGCGTGTGCACATGCGTGCTTACACACAGGCTCCTGCCCATGCATGTCTGGTGAAAAGCAACTATTTTTTCTTTATGCTTCTAGAGGAAAAGGGCAAAGAGAAATT